TGAAATAAATTCCCATGCCCCCCTCCTCTGTTGCTGAACACTTCCAACCTTGGACTGTTTTTTTCTCAGAATGTTTTATAACTATTGTTCTCTTGGTTTGTCTGCTTTTGTTGCTGAAAGTTAGAAAATGCAGGATTTAGAACTTTCTTTTTTGTGTCTATGGATAACCATAAGTACGTGGTATTTTTTTACAGCGTTTGTAAGCATTTGTCTCTTCCTGTGGCTAATGGCACTTCTTTTACTTACATTAATCCACAAAGAAGATTTTAAATTCATTTATAAAATGAATGTTTGCTTTTCCAAAGTCCTGCGCAACAGAACGATACAGATTAGTTGCAGGAATCATCAGGGAGAAAAGGTGCTGTACTTGTTCTGCTACCTAAGTCTCTGCTGGAAACTGGACTATCTTGATGTAGTATCCTTGTTATTCATTGTCTCATTTCTCTCTTTTCTTTGTGAAATGGGTCTCTGATTTCTTTTTCACCATTTTGTGTTTTCCTTTTTGTCTTCCCTCCCCTGCTTTTTTGTCATGGTTACTACTTTAAGCTATGAGGCTATGGAATGGAAATACTGCAAAGTTTGGGGGTTTTGGAGGGGAACTTAGGCAAAGTGGAGGTAGTTACCCTGCTAGGGTACAGATGAGGCAAAATGAACAACTGTTTTGTAGTTGCCAAATCTTATACAAATTTAGTTCAGCAACATTTTTGTGGCATAGGCAAATAGTCCTTCTGTTCTAGCTAGAGTTAACGTAAACAACACATTTAAATGGCTAATACTCCGTTTTCGTGTTTGCCTTTGCAGGTCAGTCAAATTCAAATACTTCTTTTCTGCTTCTCTGTCCTTCCCTGCCATGTTTTTAATCTCACTCTTTCTACCTTATTCTGTGCCTCTGTGTCAAAGTACTGTTCAAAACTATGTTACCTTCTACTCCACATGGTGCTTATCCTTCTGAAAAACTCACAACTGGGATGAGCAGTCACTGCCCCAGACTATTCAACCAGGATGAAACATCAGAAGGAGTGGAATTAGGTGGCATGAGAGGATTTTACTCAAGAAGAATATAACATTTGAGCCCTGTTTGAACTGAAGTTGTCTGAATAGTGCTGCTTGAGTAAGGATAGTTTGGATAGCTATAAGTAAAGAGCAGTTTCACCTCACGCAAGGATGTGAGCAAATTCCATTGAATAAGAATTTTCCTGTGTACTTTCTTTTGCATGATCACCAGCGGCCAATTTTGTGAATTTTCTGTTGTTGGAGTTACTGTTCCACTTCAGAAAATCCTGTTGAAGTCATGAGGTTGTGACTAAAGCAAGAGCAGTGCAGGCGAGGTAGAAGAAACTGCCAGTGCAAGACAGTCGAGAATCTGGCCCTGGTTTACGTGCAGCTACTTTGGGTTTATGTAGGCTTTTTTGTGTTTGTTTTTGTTTTGCTCTGGGCTGTCTAAATATTTCACAGGCAGTTCACTCCCACAGAATGATTATGAGTCTTTATTTGGTGTGTTTTACAAAGAGTCCAACTGAAGAGCTGAAAAGCTGAATGATTTGTTCAAAATCCCCCTCTCTCAATATCTACGTTAAAGTCCATAATGAAATCTCAGTCTGATCCAGAGACCTGTGCCTCTGCGTGTGTCCTCCATGATCACCCTGCCGATCTGATTTCACCGGCTGCAAGCTTCTCTGCCTTTTTTGTATCAAGTTCTACTGGTACAACTGCCTTGGAACACATCTTGGGTTCGATTCGGTCATATTGTGCAGTGATAAGCATTGCGTACGAGTTGATCAGAAAATATGTGGCTGGTAAACACCAGATTCCACCTTTCCTGAATGATTAGGTGGCTTTTTGAAGTCCTAATGATTTTAATTTGGCTTGGAGTCAGTGAGTAAGAGTATGCAAAGCCTTAGCCAAAGTACCTATTTATTTATTTAAATTTTATCAGCACATACTTCTTCAAAGAAGAGTACCTATCTCTTTGTCTAAGCGCTCTTTAATAAATGTATAAATGTATAACCACCAAGTAAATCAGCTTAAATTTTCTCTATTGTCTTGTGGATAACAGAGTGTTTTTCCTTGGTGAATAGGGTTTATAGAATATTCCTGACTTGTAGGAGTGATGTTGTTGTTCAGTTTCATTCTTCATTTTTCATTTCAGATTTTTAAAAAAAGTAACACGGCTTGTTTTCCCTGTGTTTGTCTACTCTCATAAAACAAGTTTGTTTTTATTCCCCAAGAAAGGATATGAATAGAGTAATGATTTGTTTAAAATGTGAATGGAATTTTTCTAGACACAAATCGCTCGCTCTATCTGTTCATCTTCTGGACTTGGCTGTTTAAAACTTGTCAAGGAAGAATAAATTTTTCCTTTTTCCCTCCCAGGTTCTTTGGAGGAGAAAGATTGTCTGTATTTGTGGTTGTTTCAGATATTTGCAAAATTAATGTTAAAATTCAAATACGCAGTAATATAAATTTTTTTTAAACCCTCTACTTTCCTATTGTAGTTCTTTACTTGTGAGAGACACATTTAATGAAGATGCTTTTTGTTTTCTTTCTTAAGGAGCGGTTATATAATCTAGTGCTATGTTGAAAAAAACTTTGCTTATTCAAGGCACCAGAGATGTCCTATGCTGTGGCACCCCAATTTAATTATCATGTTGAATTGTATATGATAAATTGCATTTTTAAGGAAGCTCTCCTTAGCTGTGGCATACTGTAGTATATAAAAGATTGCAATTATAATTGTATTTGTAATTAATCCTTACATATTCAGGTTAAATGGGATAGGACTAAGTACACTGAAAAATCAACGTGTCTGCGACTATACCTTTGCAAGTGAAATACTGCATCTGTTGTATATTAAATTACTATATATTGTGCTATGCAATATTGCTATTATTTCAATTTTTTTCCATGAGCACTTTCTTCAGCTGTATACCAAACAGTATTGGAAATCACTTGCAAAGGAAAACATAGCATAAGCTTGGTGCTCTAAGATAAGGAGCTTTTGAAAATAGCAAATAACTTCTTGTAGGTTTCTGTGCTACGATTTATAAAATCAGACGTAATTATGCTGCTGTTGTTGACTGAGTTATTTTCCATTCAAATGCTATGTGCTTAATTGAACCAGAAGCGAAGGAGTGGGTACCTTTCCCGTGGTGCTGGGTCCCTGGTGCCAAACAAGTCAACAGAGATCTCGGCTGCGTGTAATTTTCACACCAGTGCAGGCAAAGGTGTTTTGTCATGAACGGGGGTCCGGACCGCTTGGAGATCTGCCGAGCACTTGGCCATCAGGATGGTTTGCTTTAAGGAGATGCAGAGGCAAAGTGCACATTGGAAAGTTTCCTCACAGGACTTTGAATTTACCTTCAAACTTATTAGAGTTTCTTCTTTCAAACAGAAGATTGCAAACTGTTTTTGTTATTTTGGAAGTTGTCCTCGTAATACCTTTTACTCATTTCTTTCCTGAAATTAACGTAGCATGCTGTGTATATTCAATTTTTTATTTATATAATAAGAAAAATATTTTCTGAATTACTTCATTTTCTAACATAAGTTCGTTCTTTTTTTGTTTGTTTTTTAAACTTCACTGCTCCTACACATGGACTAAAGTATTGAACTTGTAGACTGATACCCAAATCTCTTTCTTGAGTCAATACCATTAATTTATAAGCCAGTAAAGTATTTGAGTGCATTGCATTTGTCAATATTGACTTTTCCCTGCTATTGTGTTTCTCATTCTCTTAGGTTAGTTAGTTGTATCTCAGTCTCCTCTATTCTAGACTTACCTGCACATTTTTGTGTCATTTGCAGGTTTATCGCTTTTCTGATAACTCCTTTTTCTGATGACTAACACATATGTAGCTACCGCATATGCCAGAACGATGTGGTTCTCACCAGCTCCTACCTGTTCAGCTTTCCACAAAGAAAAATGCACCGTTTATTTCTAATCTCTGTTTTCTGTCCAGGTTCTTGAAAAACTTTTGTCCCTTGTAGGACAGCTTTTTAATTACACCAGCTGCTTTTCTGGAAATCCATATAAACCATTTCTTCTTTAGTTTTCTTTTGGTGCATTAAGAATTGTATCAGATTTTTGAGGTACAATTTACTTTTGCTAAAACAAATTCTGCCTGGGATCTGTGTCTCGTCTTCTTGTGTTTTAATGATTATTTTAAGTAAATTACTCTCTTATCTCAAAAATATATATGCTAGTCTAAAAATTCCCTGAATTAATCCCATAAGGCTTTTCAAAATGTAAGTGCAATATTTGCTACCATGCAGTCCTTAGAGTCACTAGTAGGAGAATATTTTCTTAGAGGTTCAATCAGCTTATTCTTAAATTTTTTTCTGATATTTTTGACTGTATGTATCCTCTGTGGCTTACTGACTTACTGCCTTTTTTGTTTCTCTGTTGTTTTTTTTCCTTCTCCCTTCCTCTCGTTTGGGTACCCATGTCCCTGGTGGCATCCCATCTTTTTTTATGTAGAAAGAATAGGTTCAGGGTAAGTATCTTTCTAATATGTAGCTGGCAAAAACTGATGCAAGAAATTGTTTATCTTTTCAGCAACACCCTCATTTTCTTTAATTACATCTTCACCTCCTCTAATCCAAAACACCTACTTATTCTCCCTTAACCCTCTTGGTGGTTATTGCGTGGTTTTTACCCACAGCTGTTTACTTCAGAGCCTCATTTTAGGCCTCTTTGTTTCTTTCTTACACAATGAATCTTATAATCTGCTTTGTTGGCTTCACAAACATTGTATTTCCATATTCTGCATAACTTTGCATTGGATTTCTATAGGTGGAAAGGCTGTAAGGCACTGTAAAATTGTACAACAGGTCTATAAACTGAAAAAGTGCTATGCTGGTTTGAAGAGGACATACTTCATTTTCAGGATACAAAATTCATCTTCGCACTTAAAGTGCGTGCATTCCCCCCTTGGATGTAGTCACTAACATTTGTTTTTGAATTTCTTATGTTAATACATTGATTTCTGCTGATTTAACAGGTTTTAGATGCAGGAAGAGTGAAAGAGTATGGTGAACCTTACATTTTGCTGCAAGAACAAGATGGATTGTTTTACAAAATGGTGCAACAAGTGGGCAAGACTGAAGCGGCTTCTCTGATAGAAACAGCAAAACAGGTAATTTTAGAAGAAGGGATAATTAAGTTTGTCTCTGCGGTTTGTTTATCTCAAGTTAGCATATTCAGTGTTATAGTAAGACTTCCACTAAAGAAGCTGTCGGCTTTGCAAGGCAAAGCTATCGTTTTCAGTGCTTTTTTTAGTGGGATATACACAGACTTCCAAATGATAAGTGTATTCATATACCCTGAGTTGAAAGACCGTTTGGATTTCTTGCATCCTTCTGTATGTACACAAAATGGTAAGTGTAAATAATACATGTCATGCTGACCTATGCTGGGCATTGATCTTAGAAAAACTTGCTGTAAAAACATGTTAGAGCTGCAGAGTCCAGGATTTATCTATTATTTCTATACCTTTAAAAGGGCCTATCAAATTTTAGTTGCAGGTTTAGTACCTGTGTATTATATTATGATCTCTGGGGGTGTGATCACATTCTTACTTTTGTGCTTTCTCTTACTCTGTTCTCATACCCTTGGTCTGTTCTGCACATAGGATGAGCAGGGCTCGATTAAGAAACAGCTGTTGAATGTTTTGTTGCGTCCTTGTTCCTTACAAGGCTCTGTGCCTGATTTACTGCTTACTATTCAAATCCTACTCTGAGTACAGAATTATTAATGTAATTGTGAGCATTCCTCTGGCAATCAAAGTGTTTAAGAAACATCAATGGATTAATTTCCATAATATGCCTCTGAGGTGAGGCTATATCATCTCCACTTTTCATTTGGAAAGCTGAAGCAGAGATAAGAAGATAAAAAAATGACCTGTGATTGAGGAACTCATTTTGGCTAGCTTTTGACTTGATCTCTTTTCTCTTTGATAATTTACCACACAGGATGTCCAGGGCAAGGTTTTATTTCTGTCAATGCCAATGAAGTTTCAGCACTGCTTCAGTTGATACTGGCAGTGCTCAGTTTGGCAGTAAATTGCTTCATAGTCATGTAACTTTACTTTCAACATGCAGGCGAGGCACTGATATTAGGCATATAGCGACCTAAGAGAAACTTTTCAAGACAAGATGCAAAGGTCTTATCTCTAGCCTTTATGCTTTCCTCTCCTCAAGTTGCTGGATGGGTGGAGCAGAGCTAGGGGAGCACAAACTCCAAACTATTTCTTAGGGAAACAGACGGCAGATAGACAGGAAACAACACATAAAGACAGGAAACAAAATGGCAGGTGCCTGGCTATTTCCTAGTAAAAACAGATGCATGTCCAGCAAGTTGGAAAAAAAAAAATGAAAAATTGCACTGTCATGAAGGCTGCGTGCTCATATCTGGATCCTATTTTACTGAACCTTTTGAAGATTAAGGAAGAGCTTTCTGTGTTTGTTCATATTAGAACTTTTTTAAAGCTGCTGAAACCTCTTTTTTTTTTAAAGAGTTTTTCAAGTGAAGTTTTGTAGCTAAGAGCATACACTATAAATTCATGCATGGCACTAATTGCAGAACTGAGGAAACAGCTTTGTCCTTAACTAGACTATGTAATGAGTCCTGCTGTCCTTCTCCATTGCTGCAATGTAGCTTCTTATATTTTATTACTAAAAAGGAATGAGTTAGACATGGTTTTTTTTTTTTATGGTATGTATATGACAATCTGGAGGTTGTATAAATGATGGTTAAAAGGATAGCTTCAAATTCATGTGACCACTGTCCAATGAAGGCCAGCTTCCTAAGGCCTGATCCTCGGAATGGCAAGAGGTGAGGCTGTCCAGCTGTCATCTGTAGAGCTTTAGCCATGTCATGCTGTCTCTCCTTCCTTCCCTGCAACCCTCCCCAATTGCAAAATTGCATTCAAAGATAATTTAAAATATATAAAAATAATTCCCTGATGTTTCTTGCCCATATAGTCATCTGCAGTTACCACATCAATGTTACGTGATTTTGTACAGGAAGGGAAGAGATCCAGGAACCAGTCTCTGCTGAAATGTGGTTTGATGAAAAAGTTTGCTAACTCCCAGGCTAGAAGGCAGATACAAGCTTTAGCATCTGCCAAGAATGCAAAGCATGGTGCTTATCCACACTCAGCCCAAAAATATGGGAATCAAGAGACTATATCTCCAGTCAGCAGCTACCCAGAAGCACAGTTACAGTTCTTTCTGTTTGAAGGACTTGGCCATTAATTCAAGGTTTTTGTTATTGCCATCCCTTGTGCTTCATGCATACTTTCAGAGAAGTTGCTTAGTCAGAAAAGCTGATTCCAATGGCTTTTCTTTTTACACTAGTAAGTCCGTTACATGTGTTGCTGTTGGCCTCATACATTCCTACTGTGGTTACTAAAAACTGTTTTTATGAAGAACAGCTTTTTTTCTGTTGTTGAAAAACAGCATGCAGCACATAAAAAGAAATGGTAATATGACATATATACATACTTTTCAAAAGGTGTTACAGTGGGTTGCTAAGTAAAATGGTTTGGAATGTGGCCATGCTTTGGCAATGATTATTTGATTTATAGCATTTTGGACCTGAATCTTGCGCAGAATGAACTTGTACCAAGAGCTTCTTTCAGTAAGGTGAGACTTTAAATGCGTTTTCTGGAACAGCATGAATTCTGCATATATCCTTTAAGTGCAAACGAAGAGGGACTCCACATCTTAAATTAGAAGACTAACTTGGACATCTTTGAAGAAACCTAATTTTCAGAAAAATCTTGTGGGCATCTTAGCTAAGCATCGCAGGATCGAGCTATTACTGGAACCTTGGCTCAGGCTTCCGAATTGATCCAACATTGCTGTTTGAATGTCTGTCTTTGTCACTCAGTAGCCCCATTTTTTTGTGCAGATGTCAAAGAAAACAACGCAGGCACAGCTCAAATTGGAGATTGCTGAGCGTATATTAACTGGCCCATGAGCCTGACAGCAATAGAGTTGTGCTTGGCATCATGAGACTGTGTTTTTATCTCTGCTCAGTTTACAAGAAGCTAGTAGGAGAAAATCCTATAGGGAAGTGAGAAATGGTCATCAAAGACTTAAAAAGGGGGGGAAAAAAGTGCTCAGTTATTCAGAGAAACAAAAATCGGTGTGTTCTCCGTGCCCTTGGCAGCATTGAGAGAGGCTTTTCCACAAGCTTTGGTGGCATCAGGGTAGGGCTGATTTTCTGTCAATCAGGTTTTGAGTACTTTGAGGGGAAAATAAGAGTTATTTTATTTTGTTTTAAAGCTATGACAGATGTGTAAATATTAAAATACTAGGTGTTATGTCACCTCAGTGATTACTTTTATAAAGGTTGCAGCTCTCTTGGCAGTAGAAGAAACTTGTATAAAGACTTGGGCGTTTAATATCTTGAGGGATTGGGCTCAGGGGAAGAATTGTGATGAGACAGTTGAAAAGCAGCTGCCATTTCACTACATCTCTAGTAATGTGCCAAGGTTTTCTATGAACTTTCCATTTAAAAAAAAAAAATCACATTCGAAAGCTGCGTTAAAAGTATGCCAAAGTTTTATGTTTTAAACCAGGAATGGGATAGGAATACATAACTGGGGCTGCAGCATGTGTGCAGGCAGGCACCTCATGAACTTCCCTCCGTGGCATCGATTGTGGCTGGTTACTGAGGAATGCTTCTTAACAAGACTTCCAATTCTTTTGTTGAATCAAATCAGACCTTAATATTCTTTGAAAGTTGTAAAGATGCATATGTCCTGCTTAGCACGTGTTCAAAAAAGATGACAGTGGTACTTACAGCAATGTTTTTATAGAATGATTATTTCTTTTTTATCCCGCGTGTCTTATACATGTATTCATGTATGTGAAAAGGACATTATTATCAAACAAACTGAACTTTGTTGACAACACACTCAAATATAAATTGGAGAAATGTTTCATAAGCCGTAGTCAAAGCAGTCTGAGTATGAGACCTAACTTGTGACATGTGTCAGCTTCAAAAAGATAGTGTATTTTCTGTTTTTTAAAAGACTCAAACAAAACTTTTCACATTCTTCTTTGAAAAAAATTGCATTTGAAGTCCTTTTTCACCCAAACACATTTTTAGATAAGAGCACACAAGTCTTGACATTATTTCATTTTGTTATGCGCATCTGTCAAGGAACAGAGATATGATACAGCTACTAAAAACTGATGATTGTGGAACAGTGAAACTTGACAGCATTTCATTTCCTTTATGTTCTGATTATACATTTATCAGGAAACCTGTATCTCTTCTAGTTGAGCTAGAAATTGGTAGAATTCAGGAACTCAAAGGCTTGGCAAAGAACTGTCCTATTATTTGGTATCATCTTATATTTTAGAGAAGTTGCTTGGTTGAGTCATTGTTAAAGCTTTTGCTTCTTCTTTCATTATTGTAGCTCACTATCCAGAGATCACATTTCTATAGGCCCTATAACTGCTCTGCAGCACAAATTAAACGCTGGGATATTTCATACATATACCTCGAAGTTTCAATGGTTGTCAATCACAGTTTGTAAAATATAGGGATTACAACCTGATATTAACATCCAAATCCATTGTGTTCATTTTATGTCTGAAAATGAGAAACCCTTGTGCAGACTCAAGATTTCACAGCTTCTTTGTCATCCTGTTTTTAATTTATCTCCATGTTTTGAGCTAGTAAAATGATTTTACTTATCAGTTTAATGCAAAGTGATAAAGCGTATCTATTTATCTGAATTACCAGAATTTGAGTGGATCTACAGGTTGTATGGGATTTTTCTCACGTTTTGTTATAATGTAAGATCATGTAGTAATTTTACTAATTTTTCAGTTACATGCAGTTACTGAATGCTACTAACCTGAAGTGCCTGTTGGGATTCCTTAAGGACATGCATTTATCTCTACTGTATAGAAATTTTATTTGAACCTATAAGGTGTTTGATGCATAATTACTCACAGAATCTGATATTTTTCCTAGGTGTACTTCAGTAAGAATTACCCAGAAGTTGTTCAGAATGGTCAACTTGCCACAGATTCCTCCTTGGATCCTTCCTCAGGATTATGCATAACTGAAACTGCACTGTGATTCCTAATAACCTTAACTGTTTTCCACAGAATGGAAACCTGAGATCATCTAAACTCAGTGACAATGTTTGCAAGTGTCAACAGGAGAGGAAAAGGAGGGGGCGATTCTTTGCACTGGACATCCTTCCTATTTAATACCGAGAAGCAACTTTTTACAGTCTCTCCCTCTTTAATTTCAGTGCAATATGTTTTCCTCTCCAACTAATTATGTTTGTTTTGCTAAGGAAATTAGGCAGACTCAGTTTTTATTTTAAAGTTATGTAGTAGAGATCTCTCTTATTTAAACAGGTGCAGAACACCTAGCAGGTCTAGGGTGCATATTTGGAGCTTATTAAAAAAATTTGAATGTATCCTTCTTCTCTTTTGGAAATATTTTGAGAGCAAGCAAAACCAGAATGTTTTTCAGTGTCAGTTTAGCACGATGACCATGTCTAAACAGCAGATTCGGTAGTGCACAACTTAGTTGTCTAGTGCAACTGTCTTTCTACCTGTTATAAGTAGCTATGCAGATTGGTAGAAAAAAGAATTGAACAAGCCAAAAATACTTTTCTTTTTGATAGCAAAAAGTACTAAATACTTATTTTTTTGATAAATAATTCAAATAATGCTGTTCAAGATTAATGTAAATATTAGTTTCATTTTGCTAAAATCCAAATGCTGAAAAATCAATCTCAATCTTCTGTACTTTAGAAAAAAAATTACCACATTTGCACTGAAGAAATATTTAAATAATTTAACATACATTCCTCTTTTTATTCAGGTTATCAAAGAAAAAAAGGTATTAAAATAACTTGAGGAAACGTTTGAATGACACGTCATTACACCTAAATACCGTGTAGTACCAAGTTATCTTCAACACAGCACATTGAAATGTATACATTATTTGCATTTATTGTGCCTTAATATTTGTGCCTTCAAGCCAAAACTGTAACTGCAGGGTACACAACAAATTCATTAAATATATGTTAAAAATACGTAACCTTAGTATATTTCAAGTTTTGCATCAGGGGTTCTGTTGAACTCGAGCTCTTTGAAGTTACCATCCTACCAGAATAGGTAGGAAAGTACAACCTCTGGTTTGCATGGCTGTTGCTGATAGTGAAAGGAATGCAGTGAGAGAGAGAGTTTTGGTATTCCTAAGTTATGTCCTGATTCAGCAAAGCACTTTAACACAAAGGCACTATTCCCATGTTTAAAAAGCAAGTGCTGTGCTGCTTCAGATTTTTGCATGTTTGGTGATATACCTACTCTTTGAGGTCCAGTGGAAAATAAATCTATTCATCTTACTGCTTAAAGGGCACAGAAGAGACTAAAAGGCAATGGATCTCCTCAGGACACAGAAAATTCCATGCTTTTTAAAAAATACTGAAGATGCTTGCAATTACCTTTGTAAGACAAATGTTATTTACCCAATGTTCACCCAGTGGTCTAAAAGTAAGGCGAACACAAACATTTCTTGTTTCAAGCAGTTCTACCAGCAAATAACTGATTCAAATGCAAAATTGTGCTCTCCTTGTCGAGAAGTAAATTGAGGCCAAAGCCTGTGCCTTAGCAGAAGGGCTCATCTCGAAGGACTTTGTCCTGCTCAGGAGTCAGCCCAGTGGTAAGAGGCAGAATCCTTGTTCCCCCGTTGCAGCGTCTTCCCTGTGATGTGACTTGCTGTCCTTGCTGCCCTGAGATCCCAGGGGAGGGGGGAGGACCTCTTCCCACCTACAGTGCCACCTGTCAGCTTCCCATGGTGGGCTGGGTGGCGGTGCAAAACAAACATCTGGTTTTGCTGGTAACATCCTCTTCTGTCATTAGCGGGGAGTTAGAAAATGAAATGCTCTTGTCCCTGGCTTGCTTTGGACAGGTTCTGACACTCCTTCTGCAGTGTGTAGCACCTGATGCTATAACCGGTCCCACCGACATCAGTGGAACTGAACTTCATGGAGTGATGCACAGCACGAGGCTTGTGCTACCTCTGGTGCTGAACAGCAGGCAGTCAGGGACAGCTACCTGTCCCCAAAGCCAGATGGCACAGATTGACTCACGTATGCAGTGCTTATGGTTAATCCTTCTTAGAGCACACCGGCCACATCCACTTTTCTGTATCGCTTGCTTGGCCCTTGGTCTTCTCCAGGCTCATGCAGTGCACTTACAGACCTAGCATGCCGTTATCATCTCGTGTGTTCTGTTGTGGTTTCCTTCTCCATTCAAATTGTCTGGAATAAGGATAGGGCTACTCTGCGGCTCAGTGGAGTGGTGGTTGTATCGCAGAGGTGTGTAAAGTCACATGGGATAATGCTGGGGGACTGTGCAGCATGAAGAAAGTTCAGCCTTGCATGGTCTTGTCTGTAACTGCTGTTTTGGAAGGGATCCATAGTGTGAACCATGTCCAAACTCTACTCAAGCTTTGTCATGGAGAGACCTGACTGGAGTGGTCCAAGACGAGCTAGGGTGAGCTGAGCAGTAAGGCAGCGCAGACGCTTAATGGAGTCTAGTGCTTGAGCTCATGTGTTTACCTTTTTTATTGAGCAGTATGGACATAGCCTGAGTCTAACTGTGTTTTACAATGGTGAATTCTTTTTATTTCTGAATAGTTTCTTCTTACAAGAGAGTAAGTGTAATGTATAATACACTGAGACTTTTAAATACTCTAAGAGAACAGTACGTTCTCCTGGCCATATACCTTGAGTTTTGTTTTGTTTTGTTTTTTTATCAGAACCAGGGAGATATGCATGTGTAAACCAAGGGTATAATTACAGTTTTAGTTCGTTTCAGCTCTGAAATGAATCTATGGTTAAGTTATATTTCAGAGCAGAGCTCCAAAACGCTGGCTGCTGCAGACTCACTGGTATGAGACCCTGACAGATCTAGCTATCAGTCTGTAAGCTAGAATTAATTTGATCCTGTAGCTTTTTGACTGTGCACAAAAATGCTAGGTATCTCTGAAAATGCTGATTCTGCTTCTTCACATGTTTTGGCAGGACATTACTAGCTGTAGGTATCAAATACCAATATAAGAGAAAACAAATTTTTTACAAAATCACACTTGAAACCCATAAATTGCTGAGTAGAACTGATAGCGAGTCATTTCTGTCTGTCATTATATCCTTTTTAGTTTAACAAAAGTTTTTTAATCAGGAAATTGTTTTTCAGACTCTTTTGTTGATTTTGTTGTTGCTGGTTGTTTTGTTTAGATGGCTATTGGTTAAGGTTGACTGATCCATTTAATTTCAATTGAGTAAAAAAATGCAATGTACCTGAATGGCAAAACTCAGATCAGGGATGAGAAAGGCCTTCCTTCCTTTGGTGAAAGTCTCGATCTGTTAAATAGACAAATTATCTTTCTGGCAAAGTGTTTTATGTTTCCTTTTAAAGAAAAGTTCAAATAGTTCTGAACTTCTGCTTTGAAAATTGTCCTGCTTTATTTGGAAATAGCAAAGCGAGTTACTGTAAGCTACATTCCTTCCTGGGGATCTTGAAAAATGAACTCAGTCTTCTGAGTTATTCAAGCCTTTAAAATATTTCTTCACCATGAGGTGCCTTAAAGTATTCCAGAGTCTTATTTCTAATAAATATCATCTCATACAGTAATACTGAAAATCATCAGTTAGGACTAGGAACAGCCTCTACTTCTGATCTCAAGAATTGTTCTTCAGACATTCATTTTGCTATATCTTTGCTCCACCACTCCTCAAAAGACCACTGGGAGAGTCAAGAACCAGCACAGTTCTCAAGGGTAGGTTATCTTGTGTATTGCTTATTTTAAGGGCAGAATTCTCTTTAGTGAACTGAAACAGAGCTCATTTGCCAGATCGGCCTAGTCTTCTGCAATACCATTCCTACTGCCCTTTGGAAGAGGTAGGACCTTCTTCTGAACAACATCAGGAATGCTAGTTGCTTAAGTGATGTTGACGGTTACCTTTAACCTTCCCAATACATGTTTAAAATCAGATTGCAAAAAGAATCAGAAGGGAGCAGAAAGATCCAAATGTTATAGAAATGCTTGAAAATGCTGCTTTTTGTGTTGATCTGACCCTTCGAAATATCTCACTTTAAAGTTTTCCTCTTTTTTTTTTTCTTTTTTTTTTTGGAGGGAGGTGGGGAGGAAAGAGTTGAAATCACTGATGTATTTCCTGTGATGGTGATGAGCATCTGACATTTTAGCAGAAGAATGCGGCTTTCTGTATACGTTTTACGTTGTGTAACAGCACACTGCTTTTTCATCGTTTTAACTATGGTTTTGATTTGGTTTTTTGCATTTGTGTAATAATTTGATTTTGGTATTGCAATGGAAAGATTTCTTTTGTTGACGTTCACCTGACAACTCCTGTCATACAATAAAAGGCATTTCTCAGAAGCGTGCAGAAGTCTGTCGTCATTGTGAGTGTATGGTTGAAGACAGAAATGCTGGGCTGAGTGAAGTCAGATAGTGCCTGACTCCAAACACCTCTTGGTACCATCACTAACTCCAAGAGCTGAAAACCCTCCATTTGGAGGTACAACACAGAATAGTACATTCCAGCATGGTTTTACCAGTTGTCTGTGGGCTCAGATCTCTCAGATCTTTTTCCTTCAATGACAAGAGCTAAAAAGTAATCCAAATAGATTTTCAAAAATTGTGACGGAAGAACTACTGCGGTTGCACAAGTGCAGGTCAGGTAGGGTCTCTGCCTCGAGCAACTGGCAAGCTCAATGGGCTGGACAGCCGAAAGGTGGAAGGTTAATGGACAGAGAAGCGAAGTGGGTTAGCAGCACAACTCCGAAATCTGGTGCCATCTCTCAGTCCTGTACTTCGGTCTGATGAGTTTGTTACTTAATTTAACAAGACACTCTTAAACTGCTCGTTTCTGAAAACCGCTCAAAGTTTCTTCCTATCTCTACCAACTGTCTCAAGCACTTAAATCTACTATTTTGTTGCAAATTTTTAGTACAAGATGACTTGTGCATTTGTCAATAATCCTCCAGTGCAGCAAGTTCCAGGACTTGAAGCAGCATGAATTGTCATTTGTCCCT